CAAAATTGAGCGACTATATTTGCCGAAGACGTGCATATTTTGTTATTAAGATTGGAAAATGTAAAACTGCAGGGATATACTGTAAGCCACAAATTTCGAAATTTTGAATACAGGAAAGTTTGAAATTTTTTTTTCAAAACAAACAAAACCACAATATGGCGCATGCAGCTTTTTAAACACATTTCGATTCAGTAAATAACTTTAGTTGCACCAATTCTCACGTGAGCTAGTACCAATTTGACAATTTCTGTCTCGGCCATGACAGAATCATGGGCTTTACACAATAAGATCATGCAATGAAAGGCTACTTAAGAAAAAATTGTATATTATTTTAAAACGCTTGCTAACACGTATCCGTACTTATACAAGCGGTTGTTCAAAAGACGGTTAGCTTAACCAGATCTTTACATCAATTATTTTAATTGATTGTTTTCAAAGTTGAATATCTTTTTCCATAAATATTTTTTTTGGACCGACAAAAGCCATATTTTGTAAAAGGTTTTAAAACGAACAGTGGTTCAGAAGCACCTAAACCAAAACAGTGGATAATAATTTAACCCAGGGTTAGCGCTAACCTAGCTTTGAACAACTGCGGTGCCCTCTAGCCATTTTGAAGCTAATTGCATGTATAAAACTGTTAGCCACTTCTCGTTATCTCCTTCTGTCGCTAACTATAGCTGAAAGATAACTATAAATACCTAGCTTTTTATGCACCCTGGGGCCAGTTGTATAAAAGACAAGTTAACTTTTGACTGTAGTTAAGGACAAAAGTGGCGAATCAGAGTTGTGTATTTCTGAGTTAACTGTGATTTAACTATGCAAAATGCAGTTAAAGACTTTAATATAAGTCTGGTTATTTATAAACGAATATAATTTATATGTGCATAATTTAATCGCTCCGAATGTATGAGCACGTAACCCAGTGATTTCAAGCGCAGTTTTTATTTTTTTATTTAGGTCATGGGATTTCTGGTAACCTTTACGTGCTCTCTTAAGAATGATTAGCGAAAGATTTGATTGTTTTTGAATAAGCCAGAAACCGTTCAGTCGTAGACGGTGTTTTATTATTGTAATATGATGGCCCGGGTTTTGAGCTTATGGTAACAGAAGACTTCCTAGTGAAGCAACGATCTACCAGAGAGCTCGTGTTAAATGCTACTTTATATAACAGCCCACTCTCCTATACAGAACTCGTAAAAATTCGTGAAAAACGAATTCGCGAAAACGTTTGTGTCAAGATCATCTCAAACTACATGTTATGGAACAAATTGAAATCAAATAAATTGAAGCAAGTATTTCACTTTTGACAATGTATATAGCGAGACGCTTTCCTGACAAGAACATATGCAGCGATGATTTCATAAACACCGATTATTATGCGGTGTCTGCATAGGCCCTGTCTACATGAACGAACACATGAACCCCGATTCGTTTGGATGAGCAAACGTTTTGTTGAAGGTTCAAACGTTTATGCCCCCACATGCATACGCGAAAAACTGGTCCGCAATGTATGTAGTTGCTCGTTATCAAATGCGTCTGTTTAAAAAAACAGTAAATCGAAATAATTAATTAACAAAAAGCAAAAGTCCTTAATGTTGCCGTTTTTTGTTCAGTTGTTTTAATCCAACATTTCCGGTCAAATAGGATTGTAAGGAGCGATACTAGTGCCGTGCTTTGTTATACCCAGCATTATACAGGGTGTCTAAAAAAAACCGAAAACTATTGAAATCACTCATTAAAATTTAAATGCCGTGCTCACGAATTTTAGCCCATGGGGGTTTAATGCAACTTATAAGATGCTAAATACGAAAAATTTGAAATTGTGAATTTAAATTGGCCTTGTTCTTGCTTCGAAGGAAAATGGTACAGCTAACCGCGGAACAACAGTTTTTATTGTGATAAATTATACGCGTACCCAAAGTACAACGGAAGTGCGAAACGCTTTTCAACAAAGTCGACAAAGGGGTACAAACAAATTTTACTGCATCATATGCATACATAAAAATGCTTATGGCAAACATTTATACACCAGTGGGTCCCAACAGAGTGCTGAGGCATTCAAACTCTAACAATTACATTGTTATGAGTCATTTCAATAGTTTTCGGGTTTTTTGGCACCCTGTAGTGAAGAAATGCGATATTTGATTGAAAAAAAAGACAAGAATGCAGGAAATTAATCACAAATTAATGCACATCGTTTTTAAATAATCGTGATTGCAGTGCGTTCTCACGTATCCGGATTCATCGCCTTTTTAAAAGTTTCCACTTTAAGAGCAGTTTCAAAAGTTTCCCGATTTGCATCTTTTCGACTAAGAAATAAACATTAGGTATAAAAACTCATACATGCAGTAGCTATATAATAAATCCTGGTTCTCATGTGCCACCAACAGTCTGCGACGTATTGTTTGTGGCCGGTGACGAAGAAAATATAATCAAAATAAAAGCAGTATTTGAGTTCCCAGGTTCACACGCTATGGGTTTACCAAATGTCAGGTGCGTCAAATGGGAGATAGCTATATAGCACTGGTATATGCTGTTAACAGTGCAAGTGCCTTTTACGAACGGCTTTTGTCATTCGTAGCTACGACGACAGAAAATGTTAAACATGTTTGGTAATTTCTGTCTTGCGTGATAAAATCTTTCCGTGCGGCGAACAAAATCTTCTGTGATAACACCGCAAGGGTTTCTGCACGCAAGATAAAAATTTTCAATGTTATAATATTTGCCGTATGTGGCACGAATGAAGTAAAGGCACTTGCACTATTGCATACGAGAGCTATCTCCCATTTGGCACGTCTGATATTTTGGTAAGCACATGCATATATAGCTCTTGTCAGTCTAGTGTGTGCCAGGCTTTGATGTTTGTGAAGGCTGCATAGACTTAATATATAGCTATAAAAAATGAAGATGGATGCTATTATCAATTACCTTGTTCATAGAAGACATGATCCAGTAAAAACTCTTGGAATTTTTTTCTTTTTTTTTTAATTTCGACCCTTACATTGAACGAGCTCTTCCATCACAACAATACTCTTCAAAGCTAACGGAAACTCTCTTAGTTCCACGTGCTTCGTGAAAAATTCTGCATACATTCTTGGAACAATGGCAAAGACAGGTCTTGGATTATTATTGTTCAGCGCTACGCTCGTTTCCTCCAGGTTATCTACAGCGCAGCATCCTGATTGCCTTTTTGTGAAACAAGGATAGCGCATTCTGGGTTTCCAACTACAATCGGAATCATGGAGATCGATATAATCATACGAAATATTATTTCACGTGAAAAATACTTATGAAGACATATGCAAGTCCAAAAGACCGTCGAGGAAGATCAGTTTCCTCACACACAACTGAAGCAATAACTGAAGACAAATTATGTTCAACCATGACGCCTGCTGTGCAATGTTCCCTGACGTCGTATATATTCTACTGTTCGTTTAACGCATTCGTTAAGAAAACCTGGCTTTTTATCCTTGACTTCCTCCAAGTTGTGAAGGAAATGATTATTCCGTAATTTGGTAAAGTCCAGTGAATTTTGACAAACATTCCATGGCGATTGCTACATAAGCAAAAAAACATTAGATACTGTACATGCATTGTTGAAATCACTGACATAGCTTAGAAGCTATAACGATATGATATTTTGACATTGATCAAGGTCGCGTGACTTATTAATTAGACTTTCATATGCATGGGGCATTGTTCGCCCACTATATATAATTTAGGTAGATCGGGCGGTTGTTATATATTTTTCTCTGCTCGCTGTAATGTAAGGACTATGTAAAAAAACAAGTATAAAATATATCTTTATAAAACTTGGCTACATCAGTAAACGAAACAGAAGCTTCGTTGCAGAGTGCACATTTTTCAAGATAAATCGTTCCTGGCCAATCCTTGGTCACATCAACATGAGTATTATGGCGCATGCATATACAACCCCACCCCTAATCATATACACCCCACCCCCCCAATCAACCACCATCATGGCTGAAATTTCTAATTTTAGTCAGTTGTATTAGATGTGTTTATTTTCTGCAGTTTAATTTGTTGGATAGTGAGAGATGAACAATTGATAGTACCATTTTATGGTTGTTTTAAACTTTATATTCATATCAAATAGTGGTGAAAATAGCTGATTAGCAAAATAAATCTATACAAGTTACACTGTTTTTGATATGGATGACTGTTTATGTTTGCAGTCAGACCAGTCAGACTTGCAAAAATTTTACAGGTGATATTTGGCTAATAAACAGAATTTCAAGCATTTTAGTCTTCAAGGAGACTATAATTTTGAGGGTAACGGTAATGAGGTTTTAGAAATTGTAACATTCAAACAAGACTTGAGTGTCTCAAGAAACATGCCAGTACATTCTTCTTAATCTTTGTGATTATTGTAATTCAATTATAAGGGTTCTTATTGGGTATGTGGATAATCTTGTTCACGGCTGTGAAATAGGAAGATCGATCTTGAAATTTTGCCTTATCTACAAGATTTCTTATTGATAACAAATTAAATAAAGTTCTAATAAATAAATGAATTACTCAGTACGGGTACTACATCATAGCATTAAATAGCACAGACAAACCAATGATTTACAAAACTGAAATAAATATAGTTTTATCTACAGCTGGCATCAACTTGTTTGCACAAAGCTGGATAAATTAAGTGTCAATTGATTGACTGACCACAACAGTTTGTACAGCAACAGTACAAGACCTGATGCCTTAGTTGTGTCCCAGCCTTGATAAATCATTCCTGCGAAAATAAATCATGCTCCTACGAAATAAATTCCCTTAAAAGAGAAGACCAAAATCCTGCATGCAAGGTGGTCTTACTATTTTAACTGTTTAAGGTATTAATAAGTTAGTTCTAGTTCATGGAATTTTGAATGATCTAGTAATTATATACCTACATTATAAGACCTAACCAGAAACAGTTGCAAAACTTATATCCAACTATATAAATTGACTTCTGGCAAAAATCAAACTTGCGGTCATACAATTTCAATGCACTAGCTGTGTTCTAACCATTGACCTATAGAGCCAGTTATCAGCTATTGCCAGAATAATTTGAATAATGTTTATGTGTGGTTAGAATGAAGCAAAAGAGCTAACTCTTAGCATGTAATTTGTCCTTTGGTAAATAATTATGTTGTGTTAATTGATGTAGCCCTAAAACTTTAGTAGTTTTAGGGTATAGGGGTGCAAAATATATCCATACAGTATACACATAAACATTTCTGATATATTTGCAGGGTTCATGTATTGTGTGTCAATTCAGGAACCTCTCAAGTCCTCAGGAACTTAAAAAAAGGCCACAAAATCCATTCCAAGGAGTACAAGGTGGACAAGCCACTTCGGTGTTAAATAGCGAGGCAATCATGTCAGCAACAGGCTCAACCCAGCATATGTACCCTGTACTCTAATACCTTGCATAAACTGGTACCACAAATCACATGCACAGATAGTGTAATTGTTTAATTCTAAGATTGAAATTATAAAACCTTGATAAATTATAAAAGCTGGGCTGAGCCTCTTGCAAATATTCTCTTGATTTAATAACCAGTTCAGGTTTAGATTTATAATGTTGCCCCCTGTTAAATTTACATCCAGTATAGTGTGAAAACATTCTTTGAAAAGTTCTACTGACTACAGCAAATCAAACATATTAATTGGGTACAAATACTCACCATATATTATTATTATACATTCGTGAAACGTCTGCCAAACGCTTTTATACGCATTCAACTGCTGCAAAGATCACAACACGACTTGAGATAAATTCTAAACCTGATTCATTTCATGATTTCCTTATTTTCAGCTTTCACCTTTCATGTCCAAGTGTCACTGAATAAGTCTGAATTACAAATTGTATTAAAGTGAAATGCTGCGGAGTGAATACACGTAGTGCCTTTATCTTCCTCAGTCATCTCTTCGGTAGCCTTCAGGTAAGTAATGGCAATATTGCGTGCCAAAAAACTTGATCTTGTTTATTATGATAAACGTAAACAAAATTTATATTGTGGATTTGTGGTTTGTGCTCATGAGAATTCTCTCCCGACTCCCGAGTAAAGTTCGCACAAAAGTGCGAATATGAAGTATCACGTATTCGCATAGGATGAAACCGCAGTACTATGGTACGTGTGCTCAAAAAATCATCATGACAAACAAAAAACGCTGAAATCGAGATGCACAATGCACAGTCAAAAATTTCCACTAGGAATGACGAAGCAAAATATATTTACAAAAAAGCACCATTTAGATAAAAAATGGTGAAAAGAACCCAATGCAAGTCTATTATTGTTTTTGTTTTCTGATTCTGAAAATTACGGTAAAATTGCTCATCAATCTGGCCATATTTCATAGTTTAAGGATACTGAATGGAACGAGAATTACGTTACCAAACATTCCCGATAAGGGCTTCGTTAAGAATGTCAGTGTCGCATTTCAGTACAAACTTTAATTGAAGTTTCGTCTGGTCACGGTAAACATGAGAGAAGTTTCAAAAAATGATTTACACAATGCATCATCATTTAGACAAAACACAAAGAAAGGTATGGAAAGCAAAGGCTATTATAGTTGTTTCTGTTTCAAAAAACTTCGGTCCAATAAAGGACCAAAAAAAATTGCTCAGCTGGCCATATTTCAGGCCATCTGGCGGGGTATTGGTATAAGTTTTCAATCAGCAATAATCGCGCCTCGGATGTTCCTCATCAGCTACGATAATGCCACTGCGCAAAGCTATCGAATAACTTCAGAAAATCAGTACTTACGTTCGACACAATTCTCATGGCATGTGGGAGATTGATGTATGCGCGCGCATTGCTTTGAGTAACAATGGTTAATTATAGAATATGCAAGATTCGCAAGATCTTCTACAATAATTAACAAAAACTGAGAGAAATGAAAAAAATGTTCATCAAGGAACGAAGAAGCAGGAAAATTTAAAGCAACGATATTGAAAATACATTAACACAATAGCATCATTAAGATAAAACACGATAAAATGAATACAACATATAAGTCTTTTATTTTTGTTTCAGAAAATATCGGTCCATTGAAGGACCAAAAAATTGCTCAGCCGACCATATTTCAGGCCATCTGGCGGGGTATTGGTATAAGTTTTCAATCAGCAATAATCGCGCCTCGGATGTTCCTCATCAGCTACGATACTGCCACTGCGCAAAGCTATCGAATAACAGCAGAAAATCAGTACTTACGCTCGACACGATTTTCACAGCATGTGGGATATACAGAGATGCGCGCGCATGGTTTTGACAGTCAATATTACATCTTCTAAATCGTCAAAATATTTATACATTGTAGCTGTTCACCTCCGATTTTTTACAATTATTCTAATGACCATCATATCAGTGCAATAATTTACCTGTATATAAAAACGGAAATACATTACCAAACATTCGACATAAGAGCTTCGTTAAGAATGTCAGTGTCGCATTTGTTTCTCCGAAATATTACATTCAAATACATACTCTAATTGGTTTTCTCCAAGATTCAAGTTAATCCTGATCAAGGTAAAAGGAAAGAAGTTTCAAAAAATCATTTACACAATGCATTATCATTAAGATAAAACACGAACTGAATGATATACAATGGAAATTCTATTATTTTGGTTTCTGTTTAAAAAAAACTTCGGTCCAATGAAGGACCAGAAAAAATTGCTCAGCTGGCCATATTTCAGGCCATCTGGCGGGGTATTGGTATAAGTTTTCAATCAGCAATAATCGCGCCTCGGATGTTCCTCATCAGCTACGATAATGCCACTGCGCAAAGCTATCGAATAATTTCAGAAAATCAGTACTTACGCTCGACATGATTGTCACGGCATGTGGGAGAATGATGTTTGCGCGCGCATTAATTCGACTGGGGTGAACAGGGCAGGATAGTGTTTAATATTACACTATTACGAGATGATCCAGTCACAAGGATTAACCTCACTGCTATTGAGAAAATAATATAATATTTAAATCTAAATGAGGTTTCGATTGTTCTTTTTGTCCTTCTGCTGAGTCTGACAACACAATTATAGTAGTTTCCTGCAGATGAGGCATATAATAAATCTATTGACTATGCTTTGGTCTAAATTCTGGTTACAGGGTAATATCTCAAAAGCAACAAAGTTTAGCAAAAGAATCCTCACTCCCGATCCACCTTTTATTTAATGCGGTGAGAAGAACAAAACCCGAACGATCCTTTTTTATTTTTCGTTTTAAGAAACACCGGTCCATTAAAGGACCAAAAAAAATTGCTCAGCTGGCTAGCTATATTTCAGGCCATCTGGCGGGGTATTGGTATAAGTTTTCAATCAGCAATTATCGCGCCTCGGATATTCCTCATCAGCTACGATAATGCCACCGCGCAAAGCTGTCGAATGACTTCAGAAAATCAGTACTTACGCTCGACATGATTGTAACGGCATGTGGGAGAATGATGTATGCGCGCGCATTATTTTCAATAACCATGGTTAATTATAGAATATGCAAGATTTGCAAGAAGATCTTCTACAATAATTAACAAAAAGCGAAGTAAGAAAAATGTTCATCAGGAACGAAGAAACAGGAAAATTTAAAGGAACGATGCTTAAAAATATATTAAAACAATGGCTCCATTTAGATAAAATACGGTAAAAAGCATACAACGCAAGTCCATTTTATTATTTTGTTATCTGCTTCGGAAAAAAATCGGTCCAATAAAGGAGCAAAAAAAATTGCTCAGCTGGCCATATTTCAGGCCATCTGGCGGGGTATTGGTATAAGTTTTCAATCAGCAATAATCGCGCCTCGGATTTTCCTCATCGGCTAAGATAATGCCACTGCGCAAAGCTATCGAGTAACTTCAAAAAATCAGTACTTACGACATGTTTGTCACGGCATGTGGGAGAATGATATATGCGCGCACATTGATTTGAATAACAATGGTTAATTATAGAAAATGCAAGATTTGCAAGAAGATCTTCTACAATAATTAACAAAAAGCGAAATGAGAAAAATGTTCATCAAGGAACGAAGAAACAGGAAAATTTAAAGCAACGATGTTTAAAAATACATCAACACAATGGCACCATTCAGACAAAATACGGTGAAAAGAATACAACATATAAGTCTTTTATTTTTGTTTCAGAAAATATCGGTCCAATGAAGGACCAAAAAAAATTGCTCAGCTGGCCATATTTCAGGCCATCTGGCGGGGTATTGGTATAAGTTTTCAATCAGCAATAATCGCGCCTCGGATGTTCCTCATCAGCTACGATAATGCCACTGCGCAAAGCTATCGAATAACTTCAGAAAATCAGTACTTACGCTCGACATGATTGTCACGGCATGTGGGAGAATGATGTATGCGCGCGCATTGATTCGACTGGGGTGAACAGGGCAGGACAGTGTTTAATATTACACTATTACGAGATGATCCAGTCACAAGGATTAACCTCACTGCTATTGAGAAAATAATATAATATTTAAATCTAAATGAGGTTTCGATTGTTCTTTTTGTCCTTCTGCTGAGTCTGACAACACATGCAATTATAGTAGTTTCCTGCAAATGACTGAGATGAGACATATAAGACATATAATAAATCTATTGCTGTAGTCTAAATTCTGTTACAGGGTAATATCTGAAAAGCAACAAAGTTTAGAAAATGATTTCTCACACACGATGCACTTTTATTTAACGCGGTGAGAAGAACAGAAATCCGAACGATTATTTTTATTTTTCATTTTAAGAAACACCGGCCCATTGAAGGACCAAAAAAATTGCTCAGCTGGCCATATTTCAGGCCATCTGGCGGGGTATTGGTATAAGTTTTCAATCAGCAATAATCGCGCCTCGGATGTTCCTCATCAGCTACGATAATACCACTGCGCAAAGCTATCGAATAACTTCAGAAAATCAGTACTTACGCTTGACAAATATAAACATTTATTCAATAATAGCAATCTATTTTAAAAACTACGTACATATTGGTGATAAAATTGTTATAATAACAAATATAACAGTTAAAAAACATTTAAACTATATATACCACAATGCTAATCCATATCCATTTATAACAAACGCAGACAAAATCTAACATCTATTAATGTGCAAAATCAAAAAGCTAAAAATTTATACTATAGTAAAATTCGTAGACAGTTTTAAAAAACTTGTGCTGTTATAGAGTTTAATTTGAAATCGTCAATATGTTCGTCCTTCGCACGAAATGGCGTTCTTGAACCTCTCGTACATAAATGCACTGATTTCAGAATTTCAAAGGACAATCTAGTTCTAATCCACGTAATCACAGTTGAGTAATCTTCTCCATTTTTTCTCGACAATTTATCCGCTAGATTCTTCAAGAATTTCTCACGCTTACGCTTGACATGATTGTAACGGCATGTGGGAGATTAAGAAATGCGCGCGCATTGTTTTGATAGTTAAATATAACATCATCTAAATCTTTGTAGACATTACATTGTAGGCGTTCAAGTCAAAATAAGAATTCAATTTTTTACTACATTTGACCATCTGCAATAATTTACCAGTTTTACCTCAAAGCAATTAAGCAAACGAGAAAGTATTGGAGATAAGGGCCTCGGTATAAGACCACACTTTAATGTTCATTAGAATCAAAGCAGGAAAGGAAAATTTAAAGAAACGATGCATGTTTAAAAAACACAATGCATCATTTAGAAAAAAAAACATAGCCCAACTTGCCAAGAACAAGTTTCCAAAAATGAGTGTTGCAGACGCCAGACGTGTAAATTATACAGGGTGTATAAAAACAGATTGGGATAGATCAGGCTTTTAACGTTCGAATGACATGTTTTTATAACTAAGAGTAAAAAAAATGAGAAAGTACGAGGCTGATACAAAATGTTAGTAAGAATCGCATATTTTCACCTCTGCGAGTTTCGACTGAAACCATTAAAAACTATTGAAATCACTCATTGTTAAAATTTGAATGCCGTGTGCACGAATTTTAGCTCGTGGGGATTTGATGCAACTGAGTAAAATGCTAAATGCTTTGTGTTGCTAGAGAAAGGGGACATGACGAAGGTAGTGGTGATTGAGACGCACATTTATTGTTAATAAATATCATTTTCGCGTACGAGCAAATTATACCGGATTCGGATGGTGACGAATCTAAATTAGCTTTGCAATCGGAAAGCGAGTTTTACTCTTAACGTATCTATATCATGATTGCTTTAACATGATCTGTCAAATCTTTAGCGTGGCCAACATGACGTTCGTCCCGCTATGTTAATATTTCAGTGTTCATTGACTGTGAAAGATATGAATAATTATAATGACTCGAAATTCACGTCGCAGTTAGACAAAATCCTCAGTCTAGCTATGCCTTTCTGCGAAATGAAAAATTTCTGTAGACAAAGACACCGTAAAACAACTTGACACGTAAACTCCGTATTGTTTTTTAAAGGGGGTCTTAACTCCCTGTTACCTGTACCCTCATTACATGTACATGAATGTCCTCTCAGGTAATCCAAAGATAAGTACATAAACATTACACAGTTAAAGACACGGCCAAGAATGATTTTACGGCGCGTTAACAAGTGCCGATCGTGCAATAAAAAGGTTATCCGCTCAGATTCAACAGTAGATGAATAAATATTGATGCATTAGGAGCATTACATATTTATATTGGCCCATTAAAAGTCAGATCACACACTAAGCACACTTTTCTGGCACATAGCAAACTTTCCACATCAAACACTTGAAACACTGGCTGCGAGTGTTGTCGGTCTGACTACACTTGAAACGAACAACTTCATTAGCAGTTATGACTAGCAGAAGCAATGTGACTTAACGCCTGGCAGTGGAAACATTTGGGAACTGGGCCTTTGTACCGAACCTCTATAGGAAAAGAATTTACTCTCAAACGACGAGGAATCTCATAGTGTATTTCCTACATCTTCTATGGGATATACTTCAACCGGCTTATCGTTTACAACGAACTGTTCCGAGAGAAATAATAACTTCGCTTCGTTAGATCTAAACGTTACTCTAGTGTGTCCCTGTGGCATCGGTTGAACTGCTTTGACAACGTCCACACCAACCACCTTAACGATCGCGTCGATCAGTTGTATCACTGACGCATCAACCTGCTCCGTATGTACGATTACAGTATTTGGACGACGCAATCTAGGTTCCTCCAAACGAAGAAGGCGAAACCTTTCTTCTGCAGCCTGTGCACCAGGTCGAACTGCCTCCGAACCAATCCTAACCGAACTCGATACTGGACTCGCGACCACTCGACCATCGACTTGATTCGCCACGGGAATTTGACCAGCTTCTGGACTCGCCACCCCACGACCAACTCGACCACTGTCTGCCTCCATAGTTGCTTCCATATCTGAACCATCAACGACCACGTCTTCTCCAGTGACCGACTCACTCCACTGTTGCTCTTCGAAAACTTGAGATACTTCCAGCTTGACTCTGTTGTCTTCTCTTCTTTTTCTCGAACAGTAGCTTTGATAACGCCACAGCGCAAAGCTGCCAACTTTTTCGAGAGAATCAGTACTTATGGTCGAATAGCTTGTCACGGCATGTGGGAGATTAAGAGATGCGCACGCATGGCTAAATTTTTGAGAGTCAATATTACATGTTCTAAATCGTCAAAATATTTATAGATTGCAGTTATTCAGCTGAGAATCCGATTTTTTACAATAATTTTAATGACCATGTAGCATCTGCAATAATTTACCTCAATACAAACGAGAAATACATTACCAAACATTAGAGATAAGGGCTTCGTTAAGAATGTCAGTGTCGCATGCACCATTGGTCATTGGATAAATAAACACGACGAAAATTATACAATGCAAGTTTATTATTTTTGTTTCTTTTACAGAAAATAACGGTCCAATGAAGGACAAAAAAAAATTGCTCAGCTGGCCATATTTCAGGCCATCAGGCGGGGTATTGGTTTAAGTTTTCAATCAGCAATAATCGCTTTTCGGATGTCCCTCTACGACCGAAGTTTTTGGAAACAGAAACAACTATAATAGCCTTTGCATTCTATACCTTTTTTCGTGTTCATTTTTTTTTTTATTTATTTACCGCCAATCGACTTCCTCATTGCATACTTTTCATCAATTCAATCAACATCGTCCCTTCAATTTTATCTTCGTTGTTTATGAACATTTTTTCATTTGCTTGTGGTAAATTTTTAAGAGAATTTGTCTACGTTTTCAGACTAAATATTCAGGAACCAATGTTCGTCGAATCAACCCAGTCGAATCAATGCGCGCGCATCCATCAATCTCCCACCTGCCGTGACAATCGTGTCGAGCGTAAGTACTGTTCGATACTGCTATTATTTGATAGCTTTGCGCAGTGGCATTATCGTAGCTGATGAGGTTTTATCCGAGGCGCGATTATTGCTGATTGAAAACTTATACCAATACCCCGCCAGATGGCCTGAAATATGGTCAACTGAGCAATTTTTTTTGGTCCTTTATTGGGCCGGTGTTTCTTAAAACGAAAAAGAAAAATAATCTTTCGGATTACTGTTCTTGTCACCGCGTTAAATAAAAGGTACATCGTGTGTGAGTAATCTTTTTGCTAAAATTTGTTGCTTTTCGGATATTACCCTGTAACCAGAACTGAGACAAAAGCAATAGTTCATTATATGTCTGAATTGCACGAAACATTCGAGATACAGCCAGGTCCAGACACGGAGCCGAGTATACGGCCACCGGCCGGATATGGGTTTTACAGACCTCTCGGCAACCAATCAGAATAGAGGATTTTCAAAAGCCATATAATAAATATACGTCTTTACTTGCTTTGGAATAATTATACAGAATACATAAAATAGTAAAGTATTTTTTAAACGAAAGTCAAGGTTGAGTCGTATTCTAATTGTGTTGTCAGACTCAGCAGAGGGACAAAAAAAATGATCAAAACGTCATTTAGATGTTAATATTATATTCTTTTCTCAATAGCAGTGAGGTTAATCATTGTACAGGATCATCTCGTAATAGCGTAATGTTAATCACTGTCCTGCCGTGTTCACCCCAGTCAAATCAATTAATGCGCGCGCATACAGCAATCTCCCACATGCCGTGACAATCGTGTCGAGCGTAAGTACTGATTTTCTGAAGTTATTTGATTGCTTTGCGAAGTTTCATTATCGCAGCTACGATAATGCCGATAATGCCACTGCGCAAAGCTATCGAATGACTTCCTTTGCAAAGGAAACAAAATCTTTGGCATCTTTAAAAATATCATGAAATAATGTAACTACTGACAGACATCGATTATTCCTAGTTTTTATCTTAATACTTACATGTTTATTCGTTTACATTATAATACTATTTTTAATACTTTTATACATATATGTATTCTTAATCTATTATAATTGTGTGACGCCCTTCATGAAAACCATCGACGATGATGAGGGTAGCATGGTTAAATAAAGTTTTATTGATTGATTGAATGACTTCAGAAAATCAGTATTTACGCTCGACATGAAACTGACAGCATGTGGAGATTAAAAGAAGCGCGCGCATTGTTTTGACATCTTCTAAATCGTCAAAATATTTATACATTGAGAAAACGATTTTCTACAATAATTTTAATGACCATCTGCAATAATTCACCTCAATACAAACGAGAAATACATCACCAAACATTCGAGAGTAAAATTTCTTTCTCTGAAATATTACATTCAGGTACATACTGAATTAGTTTTCTCCAAAAATAAATTATTTCTGGTCAAGGTAAAAGGAAAGAAGTTTCAAAAAGTTATTTACACAATGCATTATCATTTGGATAAAACGCGAACAAGGGTAGAGAATGCAGAGGCTATCATAGTTGTTTCGGTTTCAAAAAACTTCGGTCCAATAAAGGACCAAAAAAAAATTGCTCAGCTGACCATATCTCAGGACACCTGGGGGGGTATTGGTATAAGTTTTCAATCAGCAATAATCGCGCCTCGGATGTTCCTCATCAGCTACGATAATGCCACTGCGCAAAGCTCTCGAACAACTGCAGAAAATCAGTATTTACGCTCGACATGATTGTCACAGCATGTGGGAGATTAATGTATGCGCGCGCATTGATTCGACTGGGGTGAACCCGGCAAGACAGTGATTAATATTACACCATTACGAGATGATCCTGTCACAAGGATTAACCTCACTGCTATTGAGAAAAGAATAAATATAATATTTAAATCCAAATGAGGTTTTGAATTTTTTTTGTCCCTCTGCTGAGTCTGACAACACAATTATAGTAGTTTGTTGCAGTGACTGAGATGAGACATATAATGAACCTATCGCTTTCGTCTAAATTCTGGTACAGGATAATATCTGAAAAGCAACAAAGTTTAGCAAAAGATTACTCACACACGATGCACCTTTTATTTAACGCGGAGAAAAGAACAGAAATCCGAACGATTATTTTTATTTTATTTTTGTTTCTGTTTCAGAAAATATCGGTCCATTAAAGGACCAAAAAAAATTGCTCAGCTGGCCATATTTCAGGCCATCTGGCGGGATATTGGTATAAGTTTTCAATCAGCAATAATCGCGCCTCGGATATTCCTCATCAGCTGCGATAATGCCACTGCGCAAAGCTATCGAATAATTTCAGAAAATCAGTACTTACGCTCAACACGATTGTCATGGCATGTGGGAGAATGATGTATGCGCGCGCATTGATTTGAATAATAATGGTTCATTATAGCATATGGGAGATTCACAAGAAGATCTTCTACAATAATTCACAAAAAGCGAAAAAGAAAAATGTTCATCAAAAACGAAGAAATATAGAAAAATTTAAAGGACCGATGCTTGAAATATACTAAAACAATGGCACCATTTCGATAAAACACAGGGAAAAGCATGCAACGCAAGTCTATTATTTTTGTTTTCGACTTCAGTAAAAATCGGTCCAATGAAGGACCAAAAAAAATTGCTCAGCTGGCCATATTTCAGGCCATCTGGCGGGGTATTGGTATAAGTTTTCAATCAGCAATAATCGCGCCTCGGATATTCCTCATCAGCTACGATAATGCCACTGCGCAAAGCTATCGAATGATTTCAGAAAATCAGTACTTACGCTCAACACGATTGTCATGGCATGTGGGAGAATGATGTATGCGCGCGCATTATTATTATTATTATTATTATTATTATTAGTTTATTAAAATCGTATCGCAGTACAAACTGAATTACACGATTATCGTTACATAGGGTATTAAATATTGTAAGGTGTTACAGAATATTAATAATAATTTATAAAATAATCATCAATATAGTCTACATAGGTAGGCCTAATTGAGAAGTTATATACAACAGTAAAAAGACTTATTTACATACTTAGCTAGATTAAAATGGAATTTAAATATTGTAATTCAATATTATTTTTTTTTAAATATTATACTTAACTGTAACAAAGTTACGAAATCGCTCAGTGCATATAAGCGGTGGAGATCGAATATTGTTTTGATTTCGTAGATAATAATCATGAGCGGGTTCTTGGGATTCTACTTTAACAATAGATTCTAATGGATTACAAAAGTGTGTCTTGGATTCCCTTAACCTATGAACGAACAGTTTGCAAGCCACGTCTCTACGATTTATCAAATTATCAAGTCCTGTAACAACAAGCGCATCAGCATATGACAACGTCGGATAAATAATTTTGAGAGCACGCAGTTGGATAGATTCAATTTCATCTGACAATGTGGATGACAAGGTAGCCCACGATGGCGATGCATACTCCAGTAGCGAACGGACGAAGGAACAATATACCATGGTCAGGTCGGATTGTTTTAAACCAGCTTTCCGTAATTTGCGAAGAGAATATAATCGTGAATTAGCCTTTTTAATTATATAATCAACGTGGGTATTCCATGTAAGATCATTAGACAAATGAACGCCGAGTAACTTGAATGTTGACACAAGCTCTATAGGAACTCCTGCAACGTAGATAGGACTGAAGGAGGTATGGTTATATTTCAAGAAGCTTATAATCATCTCCTTACATTTTTTTGGATTGAGTTCCATTCCTCTTTTCATGGCGAACAGGGAAATCTCATTTACAATTATGGGTAGAAAACTAGGCGAACCCCGCGGGATGATCTCAAAAGCTGTCGAATCGTCTACAAATTTGATACGGCCCTGCCAGTTATTTAGAAGCTGGTTGACGAGAATTGCAAACAAAATGGGTCCAAGTTTGGTACCTTGCGGTAAACCACCATTAGTTTTCTTCCATGAGGAATAGCAATTGTCAATTTTTACACGTTGTTCGCGGCCAGTAAGAAAATCCTTGATCCACCGAACAATAGAAGGATGGACATCAAGACGCTTTAATTCTTCAATTATAATATTATGGTCAACCAGGTCAAAACCTTTTCTAAAATCTGCAAAGAATATTCTAATAGAGCACTGGCCTGACTCGAGAGCTGCTAAGACTGAGTGTAATAGGTAGACCAAGGCATGGGTTGTGGATTTTCTCGGAAGGGAAAATTGTTTAGGGTCCATTTTGTTAGCAACTTGCGACAACAAGGATTTAAGGGTAAAACCTTCTAGAACCTTTGCCACTTGGGATGTTAGAGAAATTGGACGCAGATCGTTCTCGAGGGTTGCTGGGGGTGACACTTTCGGAACTGGAATAACGACAGCACGTTTTAGCTGATGTGGAAAAATTCCTTGTTGTATTGATGAATTGTATATATCAGCCAGAACAGGAGCAAATTCGATAGCAAACATTTTGAGCAGTATATTAGGAATTCTATCTGGTCCTGTGGACTTATTGGTCTTAATCTGACGAAGGGATGACAAAACAATCCCAGGATTGACGAGGAACTGGTGAGGTACGTCGGGGACGATGGAGCTGGTATCACGTGTAAGCGGGGAAAAGTGAGAGGTAAGGTTAACCAGGAAATCATTAAATGACTCAGCCAGATGTGTTACAGAAGGGTTGTCATCACCTATTAACTGTTGGTGCCATGTATTAGTAGACGACAAACCACCCAAGCTTTTAACTTCTCTCCACCACTTAGATGGATTACCGTCTTTCAGTTTTTCTACTGATTTCCAATAATATTTAGCTCGTGCAATTTTAACATCATGTTGGACTAAATTTCGCCAATATTTAAAGGCTTTCGACGTCTTCCCATATTTGAAAAATGCTTTTTGACGTTTGGATATTGCAACTTTTAAGGCAGGGGTCATCCACCGTTTGTCTGACTTTTTAATTTTAGTTTTCTTAACTGGAGAAAAGTAATCAACTGCAAAAGTAATCATTTCGTCAAAGCTAACAACCCTATCCATAGAACACTACTTACGCTCGAAATGAGCGTTACGGCATGTGGGAGATAAAAATATGCGCGCGCATTGTTTTCAAAGTTATCATCACATATTTTAAATTTTCATTATATTTATACCTTCTCGTTCAGCTAAGAATCATACAAGAGTAAGAGTTTCAGTGACTTTCCAAAATATTTCATTCACTGAAGTATAATTGGTTTCCTCTAAAATTCAAGTTATCAATACGGTAAAAAGAACGAAGTTTGTATCTGTTATTTTTCTCGGCCCAGAGAAATATCAGTTCAATGAAGGAGCAAAAAAATTGCTCAGCTGGCCATAATTCGGGCGACGATATTTAGAATAACAATACGCCTGTTCTGGCGTTAACTCCGGTGTGCCTCACACGTGCCAGTCTTCAATATAAAAATATAAAGCTTCTGAACATAAACAATACAGTTCATACTCATTTAGATGCCTTGCGAACCTAAATGTTGTTCGATCGCGACATTCAGAGGCACATCGTACTTTAAAAAGTATAGAAGTTCAATTGTTCAAAAATGTAAATAAACCGCGTGATACGTTCACTTTTTCTTACACTTTGAAATTCGCGCTTGTATTAAATCTTCAATCCTGTGCAAACTGCGACGTGTCAAGGCACCCATACATGATCACATCTTGTTAAATGGCGAAATAGCAGCGATATTAGTAAAATAGGACCAGAATCTACGTGTAATAAATATATTCTTACCCGCCGAATTCAATCTAAGCTTAATCGAATTGCTAGCATCAAAAGAACCGTTTATTTGTTCCTCTTGGAGGAATTGCCATATCATGCGAGCGAAATCGAATCGCGCAGGCGGAAAATTAGCCAAAGCTGTGCACCACAACTCTTGGGAGACAAAACTGTGACGTAGATAAATACGGTCACATATACATTTCAAATGCTAGTATATTTAGTACAACTCGTCACTGACGCCGAAGAAATTATTTAGACAATGCACCCTTTTCCTAAAAAACGATTGCTTTTTTTAAAAGTAATATATTCATTTGCTCAGACCATTTTGAAGGTATTGTAAAGTTTTCAGTCAACAATAACGTGCCTCGAATGTGCCTGGCAATGAAGGCAACGCAATGACCCTGAGTTAACACACTGCAAACTATCTAGACGAACTACGTAGACGAACTATTTCAGTAGACGAATATGTCAAACGAAGCAGAATCGCGCGTTTAGAAAGTGCACCAGAATTCGGAAATTACTTATGTGGTAAAAAGAGTACGGCACAACAGCCTGAAATTTAAAACTACTTTGAGTTGTTCCAGCACTTTGTGTGCAGTATATTTCTTACTAAACTTTTGAAAACTCATAATACTATAGAGCTGTCCTTTGTATCATTGCCAAGATCATTCCATAATTTAGTGTACAAAAAAAGGAGCGCTGTCCCACAGCTGTGCGATAAACTTTGGGACATCTAACTGATTGATTTGTCTTGTAACCCGTTCGACCATGGTTGTTCATACATATTTCGGAGATACGATCATGGTTAGTATGCCAAACTGGTTTTCTATTGGCCCATCTTTATCACGTGACCCACTTTTGCCCCAATACAAAGGGACTTGTCGCAGCTCTCGAAGCTTTCATCCAATTGGATAATGCTTTTCTATACTTTCTACAGAACGAAGCTATGCTATTGGTTGAAACAGAAATGTATTGTAAAGTTCAGC